CCTGACGATAAAACACATCTCAACCTAGATCATTAATCGAAAAATTTCCAAGGAAAGGAAGGAAATAGGAAGAAAAAAAAAAGGATCGTAAGAAGCAGAAGAAGGAGCAGGAGGATGAAGAGTATGATGCGAAATAGTAACAAGACCTTCATTAATAAATTTTTTTTTTCAAATTACAAGTTTTAAACACACCTTTTAAGTTCAAAAGGTTAAAGGTATATTTCATTTCCAGAACGTTATATTATTGGAAAATCTGAAGATAAAACACACCTCAATCTAGATCATCAATCGAAAAATTTCTCAGAAAAAGAAAGGAATACGTGGAAAAAAAAGAAAGGATCATCAGAAGCAGGAGAAAGATGGGATGCAAAAAGTTAACAAGATCTATATTGATAAAGTTATTACAAATTACAAGTTTACGTTGTAAAGACACTTTTAGGTTCAGAAGATCAAACGATAAGGTTAACGAGTTACGCCGTAGAGTTTGCAACGGGTTACGCAAACTATCCAATTAATTTATCACCTTACAGATTAATTGACACGACGACATGACATCTATTTCCGTAACGACCGAGTTCGATAAGAATCCCTAGTACTTCTAGACAAATTCTACTCGTTTATGCAACTTATCAAGAAAAATGATGTCTTGTGAATCTCGGCAAAGATAACTCCTTCCATTAATATCCATCACCACAGGTTTCCATCTGTTACGCACACACATACATACATACATACATACACATAGTTCGACCCCTGTTTGGGGGGAGGGAGAGTTTGTAACTGAGTACAAGGTGCATTTGTGAATATCATGAGTTAAGAATCCAATATCAGTTTAATGACGTTTTCATTGTCTTTCGTTGACAGGGAGGTGGCGGTTATTAGTTGTCGCAAATTACAGTCTGTTACGTGACTGTCGCTAAATAATGATTATCTTCATGCTCCATTCCATTAGTCAATCCACTTTCATTTACTTCCGACATGACACGATACCAGCAACAGGTTCTTTAACAACTAACAAGAATTATCTCTTACATAAACCTTGCTGAATCTTTGATCAAAGTATGCTTAATACCCGATAGATGATCAAAAATTTATCATCATCTCCCTGAGGATAAATACGTTATGTCTCTTGGGATACCTTTGAACGTTTTCAGCTCTAGAAAGAAGAAGGAAAAGTGAAGATCTTAGAGGAAATTTGGGTTTATTTTTTTACATTTTCTTGGTTTTTTTTCTTTTACTGTATCTCAAATTCTCTTTGAATTAATCATTTGTTTCTATTATTATTATTTTCGATAGAGTGAATTTAATATGATATTTTACAAGAAAAATATTAAAGAGAAATTCGATAGTTTTAAAGGCTTTTTTTTAGATTTAAAATGTAAATTTTAAGTTAAAATTTTCCTTAGATTCCACGTAATTTAAGGAAAAGTGAAGGAAATTTCCTTTAAATTATTGAATTAAAAAATGATTCTTTAAACTAAAACCTAAAAAAGTTCTTTAAATATCAATTTTTAATACCTTTAAAGGAAGGGAATTAAAGAAAATTCCTTCAATCATCGAATTTTTCTTGCTATTTTTTTCTTAATGAGCAAAATATCCAACTAATTTCATCCCTCAGAAATTTCAGGCGAAAAAAAAAAACGAGAAAAAATCGATTAAATCAATAAATTTTCATTAGATATTTTATTAAACATGTAATAAAGAAAATCAAGATTAAAGAAAAAACAAAATAGATCGATTTTTTTCCATTTAATCTTCATCAACTCCATTGAAACGTTTGCATTTTTAAAGGTTTATGTATGAGCAAAATTTCAAATTTTATATATATATATATAGTGAAATGATAAATTATTTTTTTCGATAGATAAAAATAATAATAATAATAATAATAAAAAAGAAGAAGAGGAGAAAAAATCGAAAATTTCTATCCAGCTTCAATACATTGAAGTAAAGGCACAGGATCCATAACAATAATTCACAGAATGACAAACTGTACCCAACTAAATGCGTGTCTACCGACTGTTAAAATTGCTATTTCTCACAATCTATTTGCTACTCTGTGTCAAATGTACCTATAATACGGCAATAAGTACGTGATATATTTTAAGTTACGGTAATAATTTCTAAAGAAAATTCTTTCCAACTATTCAAAGACATCAAAAACTTGATCAGGAGGAGGAGAAGAATATAGGCCTATATATATATTTTTTTTCTTCAATAAACTTAAAAATATTCAAATAATTGTTAAAATTTGTGGTAATTTTTATTTATTTATTGTTATTTCTATCGTTATTTATTATTATTTTATCGGCGTTTTTATTTAAAATGTTATTTTCAATGCGTAGATACTTCATGGTTATATTCATCTTCGTTTTGTGTTTTTTTTCTTTCTTCTTACTTCTTCTTTTTAATAATAAGCGAATATTTCCTGAAGCTATCCATTCATTGATCTGTCTTCTTCTCTTTTATCCATCCAGTTATTTACGTGTCGAAACGATTTTTGTTTTATTACCAAGGAACCATCCCTCTAGAGGACAAACTTAGGATCTTTCCATTGCGGTCTTCGATAATTATCAGAAAGAAGCTACATAAATCTACAAAGGATTTTTATTTTATTTTATTTTATCTGCCATAAAATATAGAATTTCTTACAAGTCACTAGAAATTTTTGACAAATTATCCAAATTTATTCTTTTAGGATTTTTTTATTTCTTTTTCGTTTTCTTGCAACTCCTCGAATAGTTACTGTTCGGAGATGAATTTATATATTTTTCTTCAATTTTTTCTGTGTTTAGGAAGTTTTATTTCGTAGAAAAATTAATTTATTTTTACTTAAAATGTTTGTTTAAATATATAAAAAATTTTTTGGGGGTTCTAGAACCGTTTTGACGTAATCGTACTTCAGTTACTTCATCAATTTTATCGTAATTAAACTGAAATGTATTTTTTGTTATTAGTTCCAATATATATTTTTTTTGTTCCGTAGAGCGATAACGTAAAAAAAATTACATTTTTTCCTCTTTTATGATGTTCAATAAGCTTAATCAAAACTGGTTGATGTCACGACATTTCAAAAGCAATATTTACAAACCAGCTTGATATCACGAAGCTACAATGATGTAGCCTGTTTTTACTTTCCTCCTCCCTTTCTTCTAGGTTTTCTACTCTCCTTTTTTTTGAAATTTGTAACAAAGGAGGATCAACGAATTCTCTCCCCCTCTTCTTAAATTGAATTACATTGGCCTAGAAAAGCTTAATAATAAATAAGAAAGAAGATCGTTGGTGGAGCTGAAGAAACGAGTTATTGTCTCACGAAGCCACGAAAGTAAAGAAGAAAAACAGAAAATTACTAATGATCTATTTAGGAGGGATAAAATTCGATATTTTTTCTTGAAAGTATATAGGAAAAAAAAAAAGATCCTTTATTAACCTTAATAGAGGGAAATCTTTTTAAATGGTTTCTAACAAATTGTGGTTCTGTGGGTTTACTTGTCAGTTGACATCTCGTTCTTATATGTGGTATGATCTAACAAGAACACAAATGGCGTCCGACATTTCGCGGGTCATAAGGTGAAAAGGGAGAGTCCAACTTTCATCTACGAATCCATTAATCACCAAGAAGGGGGATGGCAAAGACGTCATTGGCGACTCGCGAGATTATTTTCTTTCTGACATGGGCAGACAACCATGCTGCGTTAAACACCAAAGATGGTGTTTATGATGCAATCAAGGATTTCTGAGCGTAACAGTTATAGTTTTTCCATGTTTTTTCCTCTTCTCTTTCTCTGTTTCTCTTCCTTTCACTCAATTCTCTCCTCCTTCTCCTCTCTGAGGAATTTGAAAGATGTGGTATGCATTTCTGGTAGCAACAAGTGCCGAGTTTCCGAATGTAACGTGTCACATACGAAATTTAAGAGTCACAAACAACTTCTGTAATCTCTACAGAATATAAAACTATCCCAACAATTTAGAAGTTAGAAAGTGTTTTGTTTTAGAGTATAAAACACTGAAAGTTTCGATGATTTTTGTATATTTCTCTAGGCGTTCAGTTGAAAAATCTTAAGATTAAAACTGGAAGAAAGAAAGATCTTCATCAATCATTGTTGGATAATATTTACAAAAGTCCACATTACCCAAAGATAAAAGTGATTTTAACTTAGTAAAGCCAGGTATTGTAGTTTCTATTTGAAAACAGGATTCGATTTTTAGCGAACCGTTGACAAGTCGACATGATTGATTGACTCGGTGAAGTTAGTTTGCAGGGGGCAAGAAAAGAGGGTGAAAGTAGTTGTGACATGGAGGGTGTCTTCCAAAAATCGACAAGACTACCCCTAGCATTGACACAACTGCTTTCATCGGCTTTGTGTGTAAACATTCCATCTGTATCGACGTCAGTAACAGATTTAAAAGATCGTGATTTTTTGATTCATTGTGATGAAAATCGGATTTGATCACGCTCTGTAAACGATTTATAGAAGGACTCGACGATTCCTCTTCCTTTTTTTTATGAGAAAAATTAAATGTTTACAAATGTTTTTGTCACGTTTCTACGAACGAAACGTAAAAACGATGATCGTTACAGTTATGGGAAGAAAAATTGTTAAAGAAGTTTAAATACTTCTTACATAATCTCATTTAAATTCAAATTAACCAATAAGAGTATTAAGTAATTCAAATTAACCAATAAAACTTGTCATGTAATTCAAATTAGCCAATAAAACGGCATCTATCGTCGATAGGTATTTTTCGAATTCAAATTAGCCAATAAAACGGTTATAAAATTTGAATTCGCCAATAATATCATCGCATGTTATTACGCAAATATTTTGAAAATTTAAATAAACCAATAAGGGACGTAACGAAGTTAATTAAACGTTTTTGAAAATTTAAATCGACCAATAGAGTGTTAAATTGACAAAAAAACTGTCAAAATAATAATATTTTGAAGAATTTTAAATGAATTTGTGAATTTTAGAGAATAATCTTATCTGAATTTTTAGGTGAGGAGTGGTAGAAGGTGAGATGACAGAGCAAGAACTGCCAGAAGTCGAGGAGCACTGCGATTGTCCGGGACCTCCAGCTCCCCCTCAGTTCATGGTGCCCCCGCCTCCTCCACCTCCGGCCCTCCAGGCATGCAGAGCGGGGGATACCACTACACATCACTACTGCCATTTAGAACCAGTGGGGGCTGAATATACCCAAGCGGCATTTCCGTCTTTGCCAATCATCGCTGTTTGTTCGTCTGTTGTGTTGGTTGCTGTCCTCGTCGCGTCGTTTCTCATCTGGAAGTAAGTAGACTTTTCTGTCGTCTCTATCCTGCTAGTAGGCAGGGAAGTTATTTTTTTTTTTTTTTATATCAGAGATTGTGAAATCACAGTTCGTGTTATATCCCACAGAGATAGAATAACATGGAATATTTACAGAAGCTATAGTTGGCTTTAGTATAGAGCAACTCTAGAATTTTATTCCTTTCATAAGACTGCAACCATTTTGAATTTTTATTCCGCTTCTTCTTTATTCAGTACAAGTATCTCAGATGCCTACGGTGATCAATTCTCTTCGGCTCTTTCTTTAATGTTTTTGCATACGTTTTATCATGCAACTTTAATTCAAATCCAAATCATTCAATTAACGTATTAATAAATTTAAATTTACCAATAAAACGGCCTATCTATTTATATTATCCAATGAAATCGATATTAAATTTAAATTAATCAATAACGTGATTGTTACGTAACTTATATCAAATTCAAATAAACCAATAGAATGCGTTTCATCGTATTGAATCGTTTTTTGTAAATTTAAATGAACCAATAGCGAAACGAATGACGTAAAAAAAGGTGTATTAACTTTCTAGCAGTAACAAACAGACTGATACTCGAATATTATTATAGATTTATTTTAAAGTTAAATATTTACTTCTTTGAATTACGATTACATATTCAATATTATCGATTTCTTTCGAGGTTAATAATAACTACAACAGCACAAGATAAGAGAAGAGCATCTTGTTCTTGAAGGGATGTTTTTCTTTATGGGGAAAGATTGAATAATTTCGTTAGGTTAATCAAAATAAAAGTTGTAACGTCTCAATTTTTGTATCGGATTTGTAATTTTCTCTTCCACTTTCTCCGATCAACGTTCAAATTTTATAAGTGGGGAGGGGGGGTGATTATTCTCAACCATGATGGTATTGACCACACGGTATATCAACACTAAACACATTTTGACCACCCACCAGGCTTTACAGGTGTTTCTTCCCGGTTTGGTTGGTAGGCAGGTGGTGGTGATAGGTCACATTCCTCACATGACTGCAATTATCCCTTGGGAAACACCACTTATGATGCGTCTAACCGACTAGGCCGTGTTGTTAGTGTGCTATATTAGAGAACTTATATCAGTAGATCGCGTAGTTTAGCAGCTTAATTACTTTATTTACCCCCCTCTGTTCTACTTAAGCGGTAAAGTAATTTATTAATAATCAGCAAGTTTTCTCTTACTGGGACTACGAATAATATATATATATATATTTTCTTTTTTAATATTCTGGAGAATCGAATTTCAGATATCCTCTACATCGATCTAGAATTCCCATTCGAGACATTAAAAAAACTTTTTTAATTAATTCGATATTCATAGAGTTAATGTGGAATTTTATACGGTTCAAGAAACTGAAGATTAATATTTGAGTAAAGTTTTTAAAGGTATTGGGTCTACTGATCTCATCTGTAAAAAAAAAAAAACACTACTCGAGTCCTTATATACGCAAAATTGATTAGAAAACGTGCGTAATAAGCATGCAACAGCGCTAAATTTCGCCCTAACGGCTGAATTTCAAAGTAAAATCTTTTCGAAAATTGAAACTACATCCTCAGGACAGTGTGTATACCAAATTTGGTTAGAATTCACCTAATAGTTTTTTGTATAGAGAGTTCTAAACGCCTACTCTAAATATATAGGATCCTATCTATCTATGCGTGTTTGATCCGCATCCTGATGTTTAAACATCTCGCATAATCTGATATATTACACAATTTATGAATAATTTATGTAGTAAATAACTTGATTCTATCGTGTTTACAATCTATTCAGTTTATTATTTACAGAACGGGTTTACTTTGCACAATAACTCATCCATATTCACCTAACTTATATCATTTAATGAGATTTTGCACAAAGCTTAATCAATTTAAGGAATGGGAGGGGTGATATCATAAACATCTCTTAATTAAGCCATTTTTACTTACTCTCAGTTTCATTTTGGCTCAGAAGAAAAAAAAAACTATTGTTTAAGCTGTAATTTTCAAATTAATCATTAAGTTTGGTCCATGCCCTTTCAGAGCCAACTGTTTGGCATCCTTCACGCAAGAGTGAACAACTATTTTAACTAGTTTAAGACCTTATTTTTGTAATTTTTACTCAGCGATAACCTAGTTCTAACGTTTAACGAATTTCACGTATTGTCGTGACCACTATTCAACTCTTACACCCACTCAATTAAGGGCGGATGCTAGTTTTGGGGGTTCACTTACAAAGCTGGATGATTTTTGGGCATTGCTTCTGCCCTCGCGCCACCTTAGGGTCGGGGTCGACGCCCAAAAATTAACGGTTTTGCACAACAATTCGTTAACTTTCAACTTATTTTTTTTTGCTTGGCTCAAAAATCGAGATTTTGACACCACCCGCGCGTTAAGTTAAATCCGCACACCTTCGTACGTAATTATGAGTGATGAGATGTTGAAGCAATGATTATCCTCGCTTACACGGGAAATTCTTGTAGATTTTAGTCAGCTTTACGAGGTTCTGAAACATCTGAGAACCTTATAAAAAATTTAACTTATTATAACGTATCATTTGGGTGCGTATAATTGAACATTGCATCGTTCCCTCTTTAATTCCACGTCTTCTAAACTTAAAAATTCTAAGCTTAATCATTAAATCTTAGTGGGTTGTTGTTAAAAATTTGGTGTTAGTTTTCTTTAGAAAATAATACTTAAAAATTAATTTTAAAGTTAGAAACTGGAGGAATAAATCCAATTATTTAAATAGGATCATTAGACATTGACAGGATTGAAAGATCTTGATCCTATTTAAATATTATGCAATATGATTATATGGAAATCCATTTAACCGGGAGTTATATAAAGCTACATTGAATATTGTCATGTTTACACATTTATTATCCTTTAATTTATAATTTCAAGAATGAAACTTAACTTGTTCTATAATTTAATCAAGGATATTCGACCTTTTATGATATAATTAGTACGTTACACATAATTGGATATGTGCAATCTTATACTATAATTCGACTCCGGTTACTCCTCTTTACACTAAGTTTTCTATGATCTACTGATAGATTTAGTTAACCAATTTGATCTGATAACGTATATTATTATATACATATATATATTAACTGATTAAGTTACATTTAAATAATTTATATATACGCAGTAATGTTCGAGTTACTCGTTATAACGAGGTAAAGTCGAGTACAGTGTCTGTGCTTCGGGTTTAAAAATTCATATTTCAGCTCCAGGTTGTACGTATAACGTTTTGGTGTACGTTATAACGAGGTGGGATTAAATACAGTAGCTTTGTTAAAGGTTTATGTAATAAAGCTACCGTATTTAAATGATTTATATGTGTATACAGTTCAGGAGCTCGTTATATCGAGGTAGAAGCGAATACCTTTGTTATAAGCTTAATAAATCGAATTTATATGAAGTGATTAAGTTGCATTTAAATAATTCATAGGCTATAAACATATAACAACATTCATATTACTCAATGTAGAGACGTAGAATCAAGTATCTAACTTAATTAGGGGTTTAAAAAATTGTATTATTTTCGAACAAAATTTTTTTATAGTTATTTTTATGTAGATACAAATTAAGTTACGTTTAAACAAGTTTTTATAGTTACTTTGTGTATTAAATTAAAATAAATCAACTTTTAAGCTATCGTTATAGCGAAGAAGGTTATTAAGAAAATGATTTTTTTGTAGGTAATTTTGTGACTAGGAGTGTGTAACTCGATGCGACTTAATTATCTCTCGTGTATGATGTGTAGAGTTGATAATATTTGCCATCTTGGGAGTATTTTTTGATATTTCTGGACTGCTTCTTCATCCCTGTTGGGAGTACCAAAACTTAGTTGAGATTTACGCGCATTGCTTCAAGTTTTGGTGATTTTCACGTCATCAACGACCATTGTACGTCATAATAGTGGTGTGGAGATTGAAATACATCGAACGCTTACGTCACGAACAGGACACATCTGCAGTAGTTACACGTGGATGATGTCGATCCTCCTTATCTTAACCACGTGGGATTTACCCAACTAATTACCGTGCTGAAGATGACCGAGGTGTTGTCTTATATGAAACAGATAAGGAGGGAAATCCTGTTACAGATAACACGAGACATATGCCTCTTTAACCTGATGATAACCTTCATTATTTACAAGATCTACAAGACAATGCAACGAGTCACATATCCTCGAGTGTGTGTAAAGGGGTGTGTTTGTATGTGTTTGCGCCTTTGATTTTTTTTTTTTTGTTAAACGTGGTTCTTTTGTTAGCCATGGCGCCATTGAGGTTACCCTCTCCAAAAAAGTTAATCCTTTAACAATTCCGATAGATAATTAAGTAGAAAATCCTCGTGAGAAGTGATACTTAATGCCATTGTTGGAAAAGTATGATGAGAGTTAACTTCATCCGGTTTCTTTTATTCGAGACATTAAAAGATTTTTAAGGGTTTTATATGAAAGAAACCTTAAGTGGAACCTTTTGTTTCCAGTTAAAATATTTACAAAAGTAATGAGTGGTTAGCAATTGTATGATCGTGTATTGAAGGCCTTGTTAAGAGGTGAAGAACTGAATTCTTCAGTCAAAGATTTCAGAATTTTATGTGAAAATTTCGTGAAATTTTTGAATAATTCATTACTATAAAATTTTATTGAACAGATTTTTGTTGAAATTTTAAAAAAATTCGAGGAATTCTTAAAGAAATTTCACATTTTCTCAGTTAAAAATCAATACGTAATAAATGAAATTTCACGAAATTTTACATAAAAATTTATTTATTTTTGCATTAAATTCTGTGAATATATTTCTGAATAAATATATTTTGTAAATTAAAATTTACTTAAAGATATTTTTGATTATTTTAAAGTTGAAATTGCATTAATTTTTATAGACAAATTTCTGAAAATATAAATATTTAATAAATTATTAAGATAAATTTTATTATAAAATCTAAATTTATTTGATAGATTTGAATGTAGT